ACATCCCAAGTAGAAAACAACAGCTTTCAGCATTAAAAAGACAAGTTTTTTACCACAGTTAATGTACCCATAGTGTCTTAAATACAACCATTATTCTGCATTCCAACTATTGAGACATACTGCAGTACCCAATATGCCAGAGCACTGTAACTGTTAGTAAATGATGACTTTTTAATGGGAAACCCTGTACATGTTAAAAATATGATACTCTCCCTAATCCTGTGTAGCTGGAGATATCTTATGCAGATCATGAAGATTTAGAAACCTCTGAAAAACAGATGTGCCAAGCAACCTACTAAAAGCAAGCATATATTGAATTTATTTATTAATTTATATGGTGCCCATCTCAAAGCAGAGTCTGTACAGAATAAACAAAAATTAAACCAAACTGGGCTCAGTGCCAAGAGAAATCAGCTATACCAATAAAAGTGGGGGAGTGTACAAGAAAACTATTCCAAGAAGATGTATGTGTGTCTCCAGATACTGTGCTTGGTGGACACACCACAGTATCAACCGTGGAAGTAAGAGAATTACAATTTACAATAAGGATGCTAATATTTGAGAGTGGGAGAGAGTAATTTTGACAGAATTAATTTACAACTATGGAAAGCCACAGAATAGAGGCAATTACAGTGGAAGAAATACAAAGTGTTTGAGTTTGGAAAAAAGATGGAGCATATATACCATCACACAACAGCTACATGATTTCAGCTCTAACTATTGATCATATCCCATTTTATTCTCTGCTCAAAACATGTAAAGAAGAGGAAAATATTGCACATATCATGTGAAGGCTTTCTGGTGGGTATTCTCTCAAATATACATAACTCTTGTTCTGTCACTACCCTCTTTCCCATATTTTATTTATAACACATCAGGGTTTTTAGTCCTTTTTAAAATTTTGATGATTTAGATGAATAATGATGAGGTAGCTGCCTAAATACAGAGCTACTATGAAGAAATGCCTCTGAGATCTAGACAGAGGACAACAGAGAAGCACACTTCATTTTTAACAGGCACAAAGATAAAGCCATACAATTAAAATGGCTTTTGGCTGCAGCACCTCTCTTGATTCCGATTCTTTTTCATGATTATGTGTGCTTTTTTTTTAATCTATACCACTCACGGGGTGAGGTTTAAACTTTTTTTTTTTTTTTTTCCTCCCAGGATAGCCCAATATCAGCCCTGTTTATGACACATGACATTTTACATTTATTCAGTGAAGCCGTTTCCAGCAATTCTCCTGCCCTCCCAGTCATCTACACAGTTTCTCAGAGTTTCAGCCATGCAATCCCCCCTCCTCATAAAGCTAACAACAACTTCAGCAACAGGTTCAGATTTTTCACCATGGAATAAGATTTTAAATCAGATTCAACACTCAAATTCTGATTATAGAAAATTATACCTTTTCTTTGATACCTAGTAGTTTTGATCTATTTAAGATAGATCAAGTTCTACTGAATTGTGTTACAGTGATACCACCAGAAGCATCAATGCTACTGATGCTGAGCCAAGAAAAAACATAAACAGAGTTGAAGCATGAAAAAGGTATGTGCTATAAATAAATGTGGAGGATGAATAGCAATCAATAACATGTGACCTAACTGAATTAATTTTACATTGCTTATAATATAAATACAGTAAGAAATATAATTCTGGAAAAAAAAAATACTTCAATATGTAATTTCTAAATACTGTTTTCAAAGTCTTTCCAATTCACTTAGCATTCTGAAAATTGCTAGCTAAATTCTGTAACAATACGATGAATTTAATTAATCTCTTACAAACATAATATAAAGGAGCACACTATTCCAGATTTCTTCTTTATTATTATTGTAAAAATCTTTCAAATTAGTAGGTAGGACAGTAAGTCAAAATCTTTGACACAACCGCATGAAGCCTTCACAAGTAACATTATTTCTGGTTCCATATATTTATACCTATATCTAAATATTCATTTCAAATTAATTTCATTAATAATGTTACATTCCAGAGGAGTAAACTTTCCTCCTGCCTCACCAGGTACAGTACGCACATACCCACATGTGCAAAGAGAATCATACACACTAAAACCATTTATTCTCACAGAAAGTTTAGCACAATACAACTTCAGCTTCTATGATTAGAAAATATTTTCCCTTTCACATTAACACAAATCTTTTACAGATTTAGATGACACTTGAATCCTGAATTGGCTTTATCAGCTGCTTATACTTCTAATTATAACACACAGTTTTCATTCGCCCTTTAAACAGCTATAGCAAATTGGGATACCATTTTCTCTCCTGGGTGTTTGCTTCTAGAAAATCACCATTTTCTGAAAGTTTCAGCCACAGAAAAAGTTCCCTAACAATCACTGTATTCAAAGCACAGTACTAACAGTGTACAGTAAACACAGACCGAGATTACACCTTAACCAAGGAAGAAAAAAGTAATGGCTAACTGCTCACTTAACAAAATTTAGTTTTATGTACCAAATCAGGTTTGTTCCCCCAGAAACACACACTGTTCTGATCATGTAGTTAGCATCATATGTCTGTAAGCATAGACAAGGGACATGAATTAAGGTTAGGAACTTAATTCTAATATTTCCTAACTTTGAAGTTACTAGCTTTGCAACTTCAAGACATTAATGAAATTCTCTCTATGCAATACTAAAGCACATATCTGTTAAACTGATTTCAGTGCCAGTGAACAAGTGATAAATCAGAAGCACACAGTCATGAAAAGCCATTCACATGCCAGCTGTGATGACTACTGTGGCATTTGCCATAGTTTACAGGTTGGAATTGCTATTTATTAACATTAATTTCACAATGTGCAACCATTTTTTCAGGCATTTTCTAGGGTCAGCTCTTGTACCAAGTAACTTAAACCTGTTTTCATATGGAGTCTGTTCAAAATCTCATTACTGAAAATGGAAACAGTTCAACTGATGTGGGTTAAAAATCAATGGATTTTGCAAGAATGTCCATATTTCAGAATGCATAAGCTACAACTCAGCAAGGTACTTGGGTATGTGCATATAATTGCATACTAATGGTCCTTTGGTTATCAGTGGGAGTACTGATATTCTTGAAATGAATCAAGCACACCTATAATGCCGAGTAGGAATTTACACAAATTTACAGAAAAAAAAGAGGAGAGGAAAGGTTAGACATGTGATAAGCAATGCATCTGTTATTTTCTTACAGACTATACAGAAGAAGAGTATTAGAAAATGGTAAAGGAAAAGAGTTCAAGAACACATATTCAAGATGCACATAAAGCCTATAGAAAGTTTCTTATTCTATTTTCCCCAAAGGTTCAGAGAGAATTTTTCTGCTGCCAAAGCTTGCAGCTTAACAACACATGGGAATCCAACAACTTGAGAACAACTCAGCATCAGAAAGATAACGCTTGTCAGTGAAGTTCAAAGCAGTGGAATACAGAATTATTCCTTAGATTTGTCCTTTGGTTGTTTGGTGAAGAACAGCTGACATTTAACTCCATGCATAACACAGCTGAATTCATTTTGACCAATGACGCAGCAAACGTGTCAATATAATCCACTGCATTAGAGTTGGGACCAAGTCTGTAAACCTCATCCATGTGACTATTCTGACCAATAGAATCTAGATTAAAGGATATGCACACACACATACAGAAACAGCATTTAGAGTTTCAAACTAATCATCTTAGAGAGAGATAATGTTCGTATCAAGATCCAAACTTCTAGGGCACTCATTAGAAGCAAACTGAAAAACTCTAAGGGTTTGACCATTAGCATGCTGACACATAACTCTCTTTGTGAAGTAATCAAGCTCTCTTTCAGAATTATATGATCATTCCTGTGTATACCATCCTAGCTCTTAAAATTTGCAAAAGCTTTCTAGCTTTTCACTTACTGCTTTTCTGGGGTTTATCAATTGCTCTTAGTTTCTTGGCACACCTCCAAACCCATCTGGCTAGTAGTATGAACCCAGCGATCTTGACATCAAAAATTCTATCTTAAAAAGCCAAATACCTTTCTTATGGTCATGAGCAGTAGAAGCTTTCAACACACCAAATCACTCTCTCCTGCAGCACACACACATATACACACAGAAAAAAACCATGGTCTTAGCATAGCACACACACAAAGACCCTACTGCATTTTGTTTGCTGTCACTCTTAACCTCACTATTTTAAAACCAATGCTTCCTATATACAATAGTAATTGGAAATGGCCTTCAACAGTCTCCCAAGAACACAATCATATTATATAATGATATCTGAGAATTAGCAAGACACAGTATCACCTTGTTTATCTGTAACTAAAGGAGTATGATGAATGAGAAAGCCTGATACTAGCTAATGCCTTTCTGACCACCAAAATTCACTAAATGGATGATCCTAATTGCTTCACAGTGCTCCTGAAATACCGTATTCACAAAACTTTCCTTTTATAGTCTATATAGACAGTCCTATTTAAAAATAAAATCCATTTGCGTTTACGTCAGGCATTACTGTAATGAAATTCTATCTTTATTGTAGATATGGGCACACAAAATATGGAAGTGATGTTACAAACCAGGATTTTCACTTGCATAAAATGCTGTCGTAAGGGAAATCTGACATTTTGGTGAAGTAATCAACCTTAAACTTAGTGACAGGTAGGACACTAGCTTGACCACTGCCAATGTTCAGATAACATATAACTATTTAATTGTACATAATTTCTCGTTGAACTATTTTTTTACGTGATTCATAGTAATGATAAACCTTATTTAACACAGAACATGTAACTTTACTTTTTTGCCTTTCTACATTGAACTGAATTTAAGGACCAAAAAAAACATATATATGTTTTTACGTCCGAAAGTGCAAATGCTCTCTGTAGCTGAGATCCATGTTAAAAGGTGCTGTAAGCATTAATTTATTAATTGCTTTAACTGGCACAGAGAAATGAAGCACCTTGAGGTTTCCCAATTCTAATGAGATCTCCAGTGCCCAGCATTTAGCTGTCAGAACAAACTTACCATAAATTGCAGCTTGCACTTGTGACACACAGTCAGAAGCACCAGTTTTCTTGAAGATGGAACATGTTAGGGATTCCACTGCACCAGCTGTTTTGCTACTTAACCTGTTTTTCCTTGCAAGGGAGAAGGTTGCTGCTCTCCCGTGCCTTGAGCACACTTGGATCTGCAACTGCTGCATAATGAATACGCCTGTTGCTGCCAAGGTTCAGAAAACATTTGGGCACAGGTGTCGGTTCCTTGTCAGTCTCCAGGGCCAATAAATGGAATCTCTGCAATGTAAAATGAGACAATACATTCACAAAGTCATTATGTTTTCCCAGAACATGCAAAGCTCCAAAATAAATGCATTTCAAGCCTAGTAACACCCCCATGTTCATAAGGCTCATTACTGTTTTTAATTTTGCTTGCTGCTTATTTACTGTTTACTTTCTTGCTTTACTGCCCTGGTGAAATTGCTCTTAATTGATGCCTTAAATGGAAAGAAACAAAAAAAGAGGAACACAATTCCAGAGATGCTTGGTCCCTAACTAATCCTACCACAGACTCACTGCTGCCAAAATGGCACCATATTAAAAGGTTAAAAGAACTTCTTCCAAGTTCCTGTATCCTCTTTAATCTCTCTTGTCAATCTTTTAAAGTGGCTTTTTGGCAGTGAAAGTAGCCATCTCTGTCCTGTGACAAAATACTTTCGACAGAAGAGATGACCTTACAAGCAAAATGATGATGTCTCTCTAATGACTGCAGCTGTCTTAGCTTTATTTTCATAGGAACAAAGTCCCTCTGAGGAATGAGAAATACTACAACTTTTCTCTGCAACTAAATTTTTTATCCCCTATAACAGCAGGATTATCAGCAGACTCTCATACATTAGCTTTCCCAGGAGGCCTTCCCCCTGATTCCTTACTAATTTTTGAATAGCGCATTGCCCAAGACACAAAGCCCCACTGCCACATGTGGCACAAAAGCTCCATTTGGTTTTGTTCTTATTAATGAATCATATTCTCTTTATATTGAAAAAGCTCCACCACTCTTGAAAACCCTGCTGAATATCTGGAAGCTGCTTGAGTACCCCAGCACAACCTGAAGCCATCTCCAGTGATAATGCCACCAGCTTACATCTATTGGCTGCTCAGCCTCAGAACATTTCAACAAACCCAGTCTGTTCCACACAATTTGAGGATGCTTATCCCACACATCCTTAAATTGGCTTGAAAGAACACTTGTCTAGACTAAGTTCCATTCCAGCCAAAATTCCAGCCTTAGGACCAGGCTATTATAAAACAATCCAGAGGAATGCTATTTCTTCAGGTAATATTGTCATTCACTTCATTCCAGCCTAAGGGTCTGTTTTTGGTTGTTTGGAGCTGCAAAGAGCAGCCCTTACATCACTCTGAAATTGATATAACAGAAGAAATGTCCATGATGCCCAGAATCCAACCCAGTTCATGGGGACATATCTCTAGGAGCCAGTATGAATTCAGCATTACCTTCAAACTTCAACTCATACATTATTCTCTCCCACAGAAAAATGACAGATTTTCAGATTCTCAATTTTACGCATTATCAATGGCCCTCGAAAGTACATAGCAGGGTCAGGAACAGAAGATGCCACAAAATCAGCAAAGCACAATCCAGCTGCATCCCAACATACACACAGGATGTCAAGCACTCCATTAAATACAACCCACAAGTAAAAACATAAGCAGTAAAACAGGTACATACAGCTGATGACAATAAAGAATGGTATACAGTTATTCATTTCCTTCACCAGAAAACAATCAGCAAAAAGACCAACGAAATATCAGCCATTCCTCAGCCACCATTTGGTTTATCCCACTCTAAATCCTTTTGTCTGGTGACAGCAATGACAAGATCAGAAACGATGGTTTCCTCAGGAACCATCAGGAGCAAAGTGAATGGAGAAGGTTTTAAGAATAGAATGATGCAAAAGCATACATACTCTGCCATTTCAAGGAAATGTAAACATAAATGTTATTGATAAAATGAAACAGTGAATACTCTCTAAGCAGCACACAAAAAATGGATTTTTAATACCATCTATGTGCACAAATAGGGAAAAAAAATTTAGGCTGTACCAGGCAGCAATTGCTGAATTACTTCTCAACGTCTGAGACAGTTAGCAGAACTTACAATAATTGGGTTTTGCATATGAAATAATAATTGGCTGCTGAGGTATATTCAGCTTCATGAGACAAAACAAGAAGTTGCAGAACTGTGATTTCTTCAGCCTACCAGAGAAAAATGTCCTATCAGCCACAACAGCGTGACTGGTTAAATGCAGAGGCACATGTGAGTTATCACACACAATCCACACTTGTGAAAAAAATCTACAAGCCCAGGACATCTTTAATACAACAAACACTTTGGCATATTTTATGTTGACTACTAAAATAGAGATGTATCTATTGACAGTCACCACATAATTTCGAGGTGCTCTAGAATTTGTACACCCTAATATTCATCAGTTACCTAATATTAATTCTTACATGTATCTATATCATTTTATACAACTATAATTTATATAAACTTCAAATAAATGAAAATTAATAAAATTGAATTCATTGGAAAATTTTGTTGTTCTAAGACTAATATAATAAGATCTATAAAATAAGTATAATTGATATTACTAATAAAAGCTTCTTTTTGAAGTTAATTCAGAATAATTTTCTCTTTCAAAATTACAACTTCTAGTAATTTTCACAAGCAAGTCAACATTTCAATCATGCCTCATTTCTAAATATTAATCTTGCTTTAGCTAGTTTTCAAATGGATTTTAGTTCCATAGCTTAAAGTGAAAAGTATTTCAGATTAGCTGACAAAAACAACAGTCTTTTACAAAAGCAAGCCGTTCCTTTGCACCTTGCAAATTAGTCAAGCATATTTCTTGAGAAATAAAATGCAGAGGGGCCTCTTACATGAACAAGGTTTGCTGCACAAAATAATAATGGGGCTTAAATCTGCAACCATTAAAACTAATTATTCATCAGCTATGATTTAATGGTAATGCAGGATTGCTAATAGCAGCTTTCAAATTTTTTTTTTTTTTAATGGAAAGGTATAAGTATGAAAATTGTTAAAATCAAAGTCAAGATTTAAGAAATCTGTTTTGAGAGAGTACTGGCAAAAATCACATGCTGCACTGCTACAAACTGTGTGAGGCAGCAAACGCTATGCTTTTTAAGAACACATTTTCAGTTATTACTATAAAATCGTAATTAGATAGTAAATTACAATGTTAATATTCACTTTGAACAAATAAGTGTTTGTAGTTGTAGGACTGGGCATTATTATGGTAGCGCAGGGACCTATTCGCCAAATAAGACAAAGACTTTCTTCATAAAAGTTATTCCATTCTGTAGTTTCTTCTTATGAACTTGCACAAAATGCTAGATTTTTATGTGCACTATTTGCTGAAGTCATCTTCACCAACATCAAAATCTACATTTCCCTTTGGGGAAGTGCCAAAACAAGCATTATTCTCATCTGGTTCCACTATCCAAAGAATACAAAGAAATGAAAGAATCATTTCCCCCCGTACAGAGAAAACATTATGTAAATGAAATGACAAACTCTGATCAGTTGTACAGGAACTTTAGCATTTCTTTTTTTCATGGGAGGGGGAAAAGAAGCTCTAATAGCTTACATGAATCACTGCAATATACTCTAATATACTAGTGATATATTATACTCTACATGTAACTATATATATTACATATACATGTTAAAATAATGTTAATAATATAATACTACAATAATATACTATAGCATACTATAATTTTTCAATAACATATATTCCCCATCTAGAATGTCAGTAATATATAAAAATAACAAATAATTATTTAGCTTCAATTACTTCTGTGAGATTTTTCCCCTACCTTTTCCACATTCAAGAAGCAATTCATGTTGTAGTCAAAGAAGTTATTTCAGAAAATATACAAAAATAGTTTATTTCCCAGCTTGTAAAGGAGAAATGATTAAAAATACGCTACTCATTATGAAAAATCTTTTTCAATACATTTCACTTATCTACTGCTTATGCAAGCTGAAATTTTAGAAAGTGTCTCTGAAAAGATGTTAGAACACTGTTTAACGATGAATCTTCGTAAATTATATTATGGACACAAATTACATTTTTAATTATGATTCAGTAATCTCTAGAAGAGTGATAGACTTCACTACACATAGTAGTATGTGCATAATGTCTTGTAAGAGAAGCATAAGAAAGTAAGTTCCATACACGTTTGGAATTTAAGGAATAACCACCTTCCAGTGTCAGAAACCAACTATACAGGAACCACATTCTGCACAGAAATGTGGTAGGCCTGCAACTGGACAAGGTAATTATACTTCTGGCTAAAAGCAGTCCAAAACAAAAGAGTCTGATTTTAAAATTATAGGGACTGATTGACTCTATTCATGGCTTTAGAGCATCAGGATACATGGATGAGCAAGCAGAGAGGAGGTAATGCTGCCAAAAGGTGAGTGATAAGTACATTTATCATATATACAAATTTGAATTTGTATAATCCTTCTTTGCTGTATGTCCACAAGAATTCTTTTTTGGGTTATTGAAAAAATTGATGCCTATGAGCGTGCTATAGAGATACAGTCATGAGTCTTGCAGAAAGTCATCTAGTAAAAAGAGGAAAAAAAACATTTCTATTGAAAAAAAATCTCAAATCACTGGTAGAGATGGCAAATTAACTAATCTTCATCAGGATACTTATAACTGCACACACAAATTTGAGGAAGGCCAATTTATACCAATTAAATATTTGATCTGGATTGCTTACAGTAACTTTCCCATGACTTCAGTTTATCTCTGTATTTCTCTCCTTGTTGTAAACTAATTGAGAACAATACTTCATATTTCACAAAGGTTAAAGAAGCCCTCAGAGGGGAAGTAAAAGATATTATTATCAGCTAATAGAATACTCAGTATCACTAAAGATTAATTACTACTATTTTGGGGTCTTCTTACAGACCAATACACTGACAAGCAACGAGCACATACAGAGAAAATAAAGAGTAAAATCAGTACGCATATATTGTGGCTCTTATCACAAGATGAGCAAATAATCTCAGTTATTCCATTGTTTTCTCAGAACAGTCACAATGATATTTCTCTGGGCCTAATTCTTACAAATTGCTGATATATCTTTACCTGTAATATGCAAGGAAAGAGCAAGCAGGAAAATCCAAATTCTTAACTGTGCTTGTACAGTTGACTACTTGGATAACCACAATG